ACAGACCGAGAGGTTGATAGAATCTTGCGAGGGAACTAGAATCTTAGGAGCTTATGGGAGTTGATTGTTCATCTTGAGACCGAGAGGAGATAGATAACAATTAATATCTACGATTTAACTTGTTCGAGAGAAAGGTGTAAATTACTTTAGTGATTATCCCTACGAATGGTAGAATTAAATAAGGTTTGAATGAATAATTAATCTTTGTTAGACTAATCCCGAGGAAAGCATAGCCTAGAATCTATTTTCTCAATCTTGATTTATTTTAGAGCAAGCCTTCATTAGTGTTAGAATTTATTTGGCAATCATTCATTAGTTTAGAATAAAATCACCATTCAAATTTGCATTAGACTAAATAATATTTAATCGTTTACATTTTGATACTTAGTTAATTTTGGCAACAATCTCTGTGGAATACGACCTTGCTCGCCACTCACTACAGCTATACCGTACACTTGCGGATAGTGAAAATATTTTGCGAACAATTATATATTAAATTAATTTTTAATTAGTTTTTGGCAGATTTATACCAGTATATATTAAATTATTTTCAATAGATTTATACCAGTATATATTAAATTATTTTCGGCAGATTTACAACAGATACTACGTGTGGTGTATTGTACGTATATTAGTGTATTGTACGGATTTGGATTCCATAAAAAAAGGATTTGCATCAATCATATACAATGAAATAAATCCCTCTACAAAAAAAGGAGAAAAGTTGAGTCCAAATTGTGAAAAAATTAATTCAATGACGTGAAAGAAGGATTTATTACATATTATCTGTTGCAGTTAATGCTCGCTATCTATTAGGGCGAAATTAATGCAATGGCGTCTAACAAAAACAGCTCATATGGAATGATTTTATGATAATTAATCGGTGTAATTAATGAGGCGTGTGTAAAGGACATAAAACTTGCCGTTTTTAGAAAATAATTAATGCAAACCAGACTTTGACCATAAATTGACCTACTAATTTTGATAAATGTTAATTCTTATTATATATATATATATATATTTCTTAATTGACATATACAACATTGACAATATATTATATACCAAATTTAAACCATGCAACTAATATAATTAATAGCTGTAATATTTGACCAAAATGATTTTGTACATTAATTACATTGACTTTTTTAATTTGAATTTAAAAAATTTGATCGTTATTTTTCAAAAAATTTTAAAAAAAATTACTAATAAAAGTAAAAATAATTTTTTTTTTTGCAGGATTTCTACTTCTATTTTATGTAAATACCAATTTTTTTTTTTTTTTATAAATATAGATTCCTATGTTCAGATATAATATCAATGGTTTCGTTGAAAAAAAAAATCCGACCAAATAAGTAAAATTTATGAGAAATGTTAAGATCCCGTTACGACCGAACAATTTCGTTGGGAGTTTTTAATTGCTCCGTAGCATTTCCCAAAATTTACATAGCCGCCCTTCCCTTTCTCTTCGTTTTATCCGTTGAACAAAACATCTCGCGTTGCCCCGGCGGGCGGCGGATAACGACACTCCGACAGGGGCGTAGCTATGTAGGAGGCTTAGGTGGGCTATAGCCCTACCTAAAAAAATTGGAACAAGTATTAATATATTTAGTCTTACTTTTGGTTTGATTTAGTCTAATTAAATTTGAAAATTTTCTCTGACTAATTTGTACATCTTTTGAATCTCAATTATAAGATTTCACTTTATTAACAATTTTTTTTTTAATTTTATTTTCATTAACGACAATAAGAAAGTAAAATTTAATCACTTTTAACAAGTAATATGAATATTTAGGAACTTCCAACTATGGTGTGTTTTTTAATTATTATTATTATTTGGAATGATATTTTAAGTCATTTTTAAATTCAAAACTTTTAAAAAATTATTTAATTGATGAAATTCTTATTAAAAAATTTTAAGTTCAAAGATGGGATTTGATAGTAAGATTTGACATATATAATTTGTGTTCGAATCTTCATTAAATCTTAAAAAGTCCTAATGAATTTTAGTGTTAAATAAATTAATTCTCTCACAACTTTTAAAAGTTTCAATATCTCAATATAATAACTCAAGAATTTTAAAAATTACAAAAAGTATAAACCTTGATACACAAAATTTTTAAAATATTAAAAAATCTTTAAAAATCCTAAGAGCATCTCCAATGTTATAGCTTTGAAAGACAATGATTTTTAACACATGTCAATCAATGATTGTAATGTTAATCTATGTAGGAATAATGTTAAAAGAGTTGAAATTTGAATCAAACTAGTATCTCCAATGCATCAATTTGATAACAAGTTATTTGTATATGTGGACTAATTAAAATAATCATTAATACAAGAACAATAAAAAATTAAATCAAATATAAAGTGAATTAATTAGTCATCATGTTTAACATGGTGTTAGATATTAGAAAGTGTGTTCAACATTGTTAACATTAAATGCTATCCACCTCATCATGAAAGAGTTCATGACAAGATGCATTGGAGAATAAATTAGTAATATATTTTCAAAATTTGATGATATGGATGAATTTTTATGAAGTCAAAAGCCACATTGGAGATGCTCTAAATGTGTATACCCTTAAGATATTTTGTTAAAAAAAAAAAAATAAATAAATAAAAAACATGTCGATCTTTTCAACATTGAAACTTGTGTTATCTTCCTAAAATAAACTACAACACAAATATATAAATTAATTAATAATTAGATGGTGTTTTGAAATAATAATAAAAAAAACTATTAGAATAGAATAATTATCATGAAATACATACAATGTTAATGTTGCAATACCAAAACTAAGTGTATTAGTAAGCCCGGATAAATTCGAATCCTAGCTACGCCACTCCACTCCGGCATGGCTGACGGAGGCGGTGCGCGCAAGTACTCGTGCAGGACAGCGTCGGAAACCCTAGAGTGGATCCATGCTATAATAAGCTTCCTCGAGCCTTACCGGTTTTTGTTAGATGCCCATGTCGTCAATTTCTTCAAGGCATTTGACCTCACATATGCAGTGAAAGAATTAACAACTCATGTTGCTAAAAAATTTGAGACGAATGAGCTAAATATTTGATGAACTGTGACAGGATAGACTGTGGGAAGCAGTTGATAAAGAGTGGATGGATTGCCTGCGGGGAGAGCCTGTGGAGAAACTTTTGCAAATTCCTTCTGGTGTGGTGGAGGTACTTTTTTGTTCCTTTTATTTTCTATCTATTAGTAAGTTATTCAATGGATGTATACAATGGTGGAGCACGTTGGGCGCGCGTTCACACACACAGGTGTTCTGATTTTGTATCCAGTTTTATCAAGCTTTCACTGTTCTAATATGTGTGAATCTCGTCAGTAGTCTGTCTTGTGCTGGTAGCAGTGCGCAATGACTTATTGCATTATTGTGTATACAGTATGGAGTATTATGACAGAATTTTACCCAAGATAAGAATATTTCTTATATTGGAGTATGTGAAGAAATATAACCCCACTGCTGTACATTTGTTAATTTTGAAGTTGGTACATTTAGGAATTGATGACCACTGGTTATCCGTCTCGTTATGAGGAAAAGTACCTCTAATATCTTCGACGTTCTAAAACTTTTTAATAAGCTTTTAGTTATGATTGTTCTTTGTTTCATGGTAATACGTGCTCATATTTTTTGACAAGATGATTTTCTTTTAACACCTCTTTTATTCAGTTTACCTAATCAACAAACTCAATGAAGTAGTCTTTTTCCAGCACCCAAATTGATTGGTTGGGTTGTTCATTCACTAGATTAATGTTTTTGAATTTTCAATATAAGTCCCCACCCTTCAGTTTGAATAAATGGTTTCTCAAAATTTGTCCAATTCTTCTGTGAACTATTTTGATTTACCATTCTATCTTTACGTTCCACTTTGATTAATATGTATTGCCAGCTTAATATGGTTAGGTCAGGAGTTCTGTTATGAGACCATTAGATTAGATGAAACCTGTTTTTGAAGGCTGGCAAATATTTTTGATGACATCTTCTTCACACTTTAATTAGTTCAACAATCAGTTTATCCAATCTTTGATATCTGAAATTTGGTTCGCATTGTAATAGTGTTTCACTTAAGTTCAGAAAATCATTACTGAGTTGCAAGCAGTCACTTGTAGTACCTTTTTCTATATACCAGAGATTAAGAGTATGATTATTGATTATATATGTTTTCCTGTTGGTTTGTGTGAAAGTTGATACTGAAAATGTATCTAGTGTGCTGCTCTTAAATTTTGATTTAATATAGGTTTAAAATTGGAATTAGGATTGGATTTTGGTTTTAGAGTGAACTTTTCACATTGATGATGATAATAATAATAATAATAATAATAATAATAATAATAATAATAATAATAATAATAATTGTAGTTTTGCACTAACTTGGAACTTAATACCACATCTTCTTTGCAGATAGACCCTCTAGTAGGTGAAAACTGGTTTGCTTTGTTTGTGGAAGAAGTCTGCCCTGTGTTCTGTCGTTGCTTTCTGACAGTGTCAACAATGTATAGATCTTAGAACCTAGTGAATGATATTTCATTTCATTATGTCCATAATTGTTGAAGTCAAAGATCACAATTCCTTCAGTAAATTTAGATGCATAAGGTGAAACAGAAACTGGAAACACAGTGAAGCTTGCATGTTCATTTAATTTGATATGTCAATGGACATTGCCATTTATGTCCTCTTTGTCTTGATGATAGCAGGGTAATTGGCCTGCTTCACTTAAAGAATATGTCCGTAAGTTGAGGTCCCTTTCTCTTCCCCGTGATCAAGCTGATCTGCAGGAGGTATCTGCCTCTGCGCATGATTTGTATTGTTTTTATACCTTGTTCCCTTTACTGAAAAATCCTTCTAGTTGGGTTATACGCAAGTCATTTAGTTGAAGACAGTCCAAGTCTTTGCTCCAATCCCTGAAAATCATGCATAAGGATATTCTACTGTTGTCCTTTGAGGGTACAAGGATCTTAAGGATGTGTCTTTGAATATACTGTTTTTGTTGTTATTTGTCAATTTTAAGTTTTAACTGACTGAGAGGAGAGACTCCCTTGCAAATTTTTAAGGAGCACAAATTCTAGAAGTGAGTTTATTTCTTTGGCGTTGCAGGCTTTCCCAGGTCTGAGAGCAGCACCACTGAACAGTGTCCTTGCCCAAGGCATGAATCAGAAGAAAAAACATGAGGTAGATCCAGATTCTTCCAAGCTAGATGTCAATCTTTTGAATATCTTATGATGTGGACTTATGGAACTTAGATGGCTAACAGCTAACTTATGAGGTACATGTTATTTGCTTCAGTAGATAGAAGCTCTTGCTGCTGTTATTGGTTCCATTGCTAGGAGAGCTGGGGCAGACACTATTGTAGATGTTGGCTCTGGTCAAGTGCGATATCACTCTGACTTTATCGCAAGTTTAATTAAATGTTGAGTTATTTTTGTTGTCCCTCAACATTTCGTTCGTTATTTTTTCATGTCAATTTGATTACTTGTTCTGATTTGCTTTAGGGTTATCTTGCTCAAGTTCTTTCATTTGAATATGAGCTTTCTGTCATAGCAATTGATGCCTCTTCCCATCATGGGAGCATAACTGATGCACGGGCCAAGCGTATTGAGAAGTACTATGCATCTAAAATACGCAAGTCTCGGTATGAGATTAAGTTGATAAGTTTCTTATTTTCTTAATCGGTTGTTATTGCAAAGAGCAAGTATTTTTTGTTTAGATTTTGGTATCTTGTTCTCTTTTAATCTGTTGTTATTGCAAAGAGTAAGTATTTTTTTTTAGAATTTGGTATTTTAGCTTAAATGAATGATTGTTTTTCTAATTACATAGGTAATTTTCTCCTGTGGTTCATTAGTTGTTCACCTCCATGAGTTGTGGCCAACTTTTCTCCACATTTTCATATGAACTGCTTCCGCTGATCTATATATATGATTTATTGCTAACATGTTGGATCCTCTTGCTTCTTACACTGGGTTATTAATTTATTCTTGATTTATGTGTGTTGTCTTAGATGGATGTTGAGATGGCAGAGATAAGAATGTTGAGATGGATGTGTGAGCATACTAGGTTAGATAAGATTAGAAATGGAAGTATTAGAAATAAAGTTGGGGTAGCGCCCATAGAGGAGAAAAATGAGAGAATCGCGATTAAGATGGTTTGGACATGTACTTAGGAGAGACTTCGAAGCCCCAGTGAGAAGGGTAGAAACATTAGAATTAAGAACGCAAATTAAAAGGGGGAGAGGTAGACCTAAGAAAACTTGGAAGGAAACAACAATAAATAATTTAAATTTGGATGAGGATATGTGTTTTGATCGAGCACGATGGCGACATGTGATCCATATAGCCGACCTCACTTAGTGGGATTTAACGGCTTGTTGTTTTTGTTTTTGTTATGTGTGTTGTCTTAGTGTCTTACGTACCTGTATCTTCATTGAAAAAATTCTGTTTTGATTTTTCTGAGCTTATAAATAACATGTATTTTCTCACCAGATCAGAGAATAAAAGTTTTAGCAAGCCAAGAACAGTCACATGCCGAGTGCTATCACCTACCATGTTGAAAGATATCAGCAGCTCCCTAGTGCAAGTAAATGACTCGGAGAATCCAGCTATTTTTAGAGAAAAGACTGATGAGCAATGTTCAGAAAGAACTTCTGGAAGTGAATCTTCCCCTCCCCTTAAAACGGAGGACTCTTCATTGGTTCTGGCTGGGCTTCATGCATGTGGAGATTTATCGGTGACAATGATTAGGTAAAAGTCACAATCTGTTTGTGTTTTTTGAATTCATTTGAAGTCTTCATTATTTATAGACATGTAAGAGAAGCAGTGATTAAAATGGCGTGGAGCACCCCAAGGCGACAAGCCTTTATTTTCCAAGGCGTGAGGGCAAGGATCTAAGAGAGGCGAGCCAATATGCAGAAATAAGATATATGGACAATGTATAAATTACATAAAATCTGGGTTAATACAAAAAAAGAAGTAACAAATGAGTTTTTTACACAAACAAGAGCCTATTTTGACTATAAAAACTAGTTTTTCAGCCACCGTTTACCAGAAAACCGCTAGGATCAGGTCCCAGGCTTGAATGAAGGGAGAGAACAACCCAATTGAGGGTTTGGTTGGGGCAAGTGATTGAGATGAATTTATGGAAACTCTGAACTGATGCCCAAAAATTAGGCTTACCGCTTTGACTAATAGAGGTGAGTGCCTTGCTGAGGCGCCCTACATGTGAGGTGAGCGCCTTCGCAACGCCTTTCACACGTGAGCTTCTTTATGGTCACGCAATGGGTGTCGCCTTTTTAATCATTGAAGTGAAGTCCTAGTTGTATGCATTTGTAGTTAGTTTTCCCAGGTTGCTAGTTGGACCATGAAATTTGTGGTGTGCTGTTATTTGAGCTTTAAACATATCAGCGATTGTATTTTTCTATGTATATTTGTTTAGAGGAGCTCATATTGAAGCTTCTCCCTGTAGATTGCTTATTTATTGGCTAACTTTTAGTTATTTGCATCTAGGACCTTTTTGGAATGTGATGAGGTTAAAGCGTTGGTGAGTATTGGTTGTTGTTATAACTTACTATCCGAAGAAGGCATCAACGAGGCTGATAGTCGATGTGGCTTCCCAGTGAGTACAGGTGCTAAATCTGCATGTTTACAACTAGGGAAAAATGCCCGTGATCTTGCCTGTCAGGTAGCATCCGTTTCGGCGTGTCTTCAATTGCTTTTTTAGATGTTAGATTGAATTTGAATTGGTACCCAATTATATTTAAGTTTATTTTGCATTTTTTTATCCCTCGCCAAAATGAGGAATCTGTATCATCTTGTCGAATGTCTAAAGATTGATATATCAAGTGTTGGTTTCGCATAATTAGAATGATATCTCACAATCAGCTAGTATTTTGCTTGATGATATTGAGTGAAGCTTGATTGCATCTCGAGCACCCTTAGTTTATTTTCCCTTTTGGGTATATTTTTTACAACCATGTTTCATAACGCGGTCTGGTTGATTAGCTTTGCTTAGTCTGCTGATCTTTATTAATCCATTAGAGTGCAGAGAGATGGAGAGGTTTGGGAGAAGCTGTTGGCCTCCACAACTTTGAGCTTCATGTATTTCGTGCTGCCTTTCAGATGGTACACAACATAGCTTTATCTATTTATTTATTTAAGGTTTGCCAATTATGCACATTGATTTGATTAAGGATGTGCCAAGGTAAGGCCTTGCTGATATTCAGGAAAATTGTGAAACTAAGTATTTGACTTGACCTGAGTTAAGTATGTTAAGTTACCCTTTCTGCAGAATAATTCCTCTGACCAATGTCTTTCCATGAAGGTACTTCTTCGGAACTATCCAGAAGTTATAACTAGAAGCCCAGCAATAGGTCGTCAAGGAAAGGCTTTGCGTCGCCAGCATCATCGCAGGATCCTGGAGTCTAATGTAGATATTACTGAGTCTTTACCTCAGAAAAATTGTGAGCTTTCTATTACTTACATCAAGTGGTCCAAAGAGAAGAATGTAGCTTATTTCTTATTGCTGATTTACTGTATAAATGCTAGTAAAACTATATTTGATATTGATTATTACGTTGTAGAAGTTCTTAAATATGGCATTACGTTTGTTTATTGCTTCAGTTATTATTAAAGTGTAATGTAATTGTACCATGTAATGGCTGTGAGTCACTATTTCAAAGAAGTCAAGGACTAAGTGATATAAGGCTTTGTGATATCTTCTGAGATGAATTCTGCCGTAATATCTTGGAATTATTCAACTTGCACACACTAAGATATGAATGCTTATTTGTCAACATCAATATCATCATTCATCCTTATAGTTGTCTGCTTTATGCGTTTACACGAGCGTTATAGGTTATGCCAGAGGACATTCTGTATGTTTTATTGTTTGTTCATGTAGGTTCAACATCGGCTATGAAATACTTGCTTAGAGATCCATCTCCATGTCCACAATCTTCATGTGGAGAGTGTAGTGCTGTTGATAGATATTCCATGTTTGTAAAATTCTGCAAATCTGGATTAGATCGGCTTGGTCTCCATGATTCCCAGGATATTGAATTTTCAAAGCATTGGAAGGAAGCAGAAGTTTTTTCCGTGAGTTCTTCGTTCCAGTCCACAATTTTGATACCTGTAACATCCCCCTATATATTAATTCAAAACATGTTGAGCCTAAATGGCAGGCTCTCATGCTTCGGGTTCCTTTGTGGCTAAATTACATGGTTCGTTATTAGGCTTGGGTAGATTTTAATTTACTTCCAATCCAAAAATAATTAGGTGGAGTATCCATAAATATGTTGATTATTTATGGTCATGTTACATTTATTAATTGCATTTTAATATTATTTCTTATTATAACCATTGAATCGTAAATGTATTTTAAAAGTTAATAACTTTTGTATTTTGTATCAGTTTTACATATATAATATATCAAATTAATTATCTCTTGATGAGCTTCGATTTGACATCCATATTGTATGTATAAAACAATAAATTATAACATCCATATTGTATGTATAAGAAAATAAATTATTTTTATCTTTATAACAATAATAAAATTATTTTTTACTATTAATTAGAAAAATAAAATTATTTATCAATTAATATATTTATATTTCAAGTAGTTATATCAAGTACCTGTGTAATACATGGTAACACGGGTGTTGTACTAGTCTATTTTAAATCAGAATGAATTGATATTTTCAATGGCATCTTCCTGTTTGGTTCTTTGTTTATCTTCTAAATGTGGATTAGTGCTGATCTTTGTTTTGAGATAAGAAGCAATTTTCTTTTTTTATGGTCAATATGCTTCTGCTGTTCTGTTTCTTGAAGGAAAAAGTTAAATGCCAATTAATTGTTGTGTTTAATACCACAAGTGTTACGTAAGTATTTGGGTCCTAGCTGAAATAAGACCAGCTAACTGGTGGTGTTTAATTAATCTTGAGATTCTCTTTTAGAGTTGGTGCACTGGCCTGAAGTACTACAGTTGTGGAAACATATAACTGGATAATGTTCCATATCAAGCGTTTTATTACTACTTAAGAGTGTACTCTATAGTTAGGTTTCTCTGTATCTTTCTAAGGAAGAACTCTGCATTACTTAACTGCAGGAACTTGTTGGACCTTATTGGACACTTCGGGCTTCTTTAGGCCCTGTTTTGGAGACACTCTTGCTTCTTGACAGGTTACTGTTTCTCCAAGAGCAGGGAAATGTGCTTCAGGCAATTTTGGTTCCTTTATTTGATCCTGTATTATCTCCAAGAAATTTGGCTTTAATTGCTGAAAAAGTCTGATAACACCGTGTATACATTCTGGCACAACAATGAATTTAAATTATTTGCTTAGAAGATCGAATATTGTCGGACAAGAGAGCATTTGCAGGTCTCCGAACCAGTTGTTTTTATGCATACAAAGGATTTGTGCTCTTTGCCATGGAGAAAACCTACAGTTGAATCCATTTCACATTTTGCGAGCACTTACAAATAATATTCATCAAATGTTTGTACTGCGGTAACTCTCTTCCCGCCCTTGGTCGATAGATTTTCATGTCAAGTGCATTTTGCTAATTTTGTTGTTGAGTAGCTGGTCTTGGAATTTTATGTTTTTTCCTTTAATCGGTCTTTAGTTAAAATGGTTTACTGATCTCTCTCTATTTGAGGGAAATATGGATGAAGGTGGTATAAAGTTGTTCTACCTAAGGATGTCATTGGATATAAATTTGATTTGGTTTTGATTGATATTTTTGGTTAACCATAGTTATATTTACCTCTCCTTTAGTTAGGTGTGATTGGATATGGACTTGATCCAAAAAAATCAATTATTTTTAATTTAATTATTATTTTTTAACTCAATTTTAATTAAATTTTACTATCCTCAATATTATTATTATAATTAAATAATATCAATCAGTTATTTTTAGAAATTACATAATCTTTAATTTAATATTAATCCACTCATATAATTTTATCTAATCACTACTTCAATTCATATATCTTATATTTTTACATTAAATAATTTTAATTATTTTATTTTAAATATTATATTAATATAAATTCAAAATCGTACTAACAACTAAACATACAATTTATTTTAAAATTAACTTTAACAAAAAAAAACCAATTCCAAATTAATTTTAACAAAAAAAAAAACTAATCAAAACTACACCCTTAATCCTCACCTCACTTGCAGGCTACACGTCTTAATCCACATAATAAGGTCAGCGTAAAAGTAAGGTAAAAAGATCGTGTGATCTTTCTCTTTGAATAATTGGATGGATGGTAGATAGGAAGCCAACGGCTCCTTAAATAAAATAAACACAAGTCGCTAACATAAGCTTTGCCGTCTTAATTTCCGTTTCCAAAGCTTTGGACTTGTTATTTTGACCTTCGTCTGTATTTCAAAAACAGCTGACACACGCATCTATTCAAGTTTCGAAATTTAACCACAAAACAGTATCCTAAGCTAAACAATTTGTTCTATTTTTTCTTTTACCCCCTTTCAGATTAAAGTCCGAAAAGGAACCAGAAGAAAATTAGCAGTAAAAGCTGGGCAAGAAAGAAAAACAAAAAGGGCATAAAATCCGACCTACTCGCACCGCGCTCACCTGAATCAGTGAATCTTGATATTTTATTTCTCTCCCTGGCCCGCTCTTGCTCATCCAGATTTTTTCCTACTTTCACACTATTCTCTTATCCATTTTTATCTTGGTGATTGTTTTACCTGGGCGAAGAAGTTGAAGGAGAGTAAAGGTGATATTTTCTGAAGGGGTAAGGTTAAATGGGTATTTGTCATTCATCGACAAACGTGAAGAGAAAGACGGGGTGGGAAAGCGGCAGGGACGATTTAGATTCCAAGCTGAAAAAAGGCGGCTCCGGCGATTTTGCCACGTTTATCAGTAAATTGGGCAGCGGCAGTGCCGCGGCGGCGGCTACCGTCGTGGCAGAGGAGCGGGCGCTGCAACAAATCCCGGGCCGGTTGTTCTCGAATGGGGCGAGCCGCATCGCGAGCTTGTACACTCAGCAAGGCAAGAAAGGGACTAATCAAGACGCCATGATCTTTTGGGAGGTCGGTTTTCTTGAATCATAATTCTGTTCGAAATTTTTGTTCATTTTCTTTTTTTTTTCGATTAAATGCCACTCCCTCGAATTTTGCAAGGACTGAGGTACCGTACATATGAATTAAATGGGTACAAAACTTTATGGAATTTCTTCACTCATCAGCCTTGATAATATCGAAATGTTATTTCTCTATGAAAAAATATGTATAGTAAACCAATCACGACACTTAATGAGGAACGGACGTATGATTCTAGGAATAGTTGTCAATGCTTAATGATGAAAGCTGTACAACTAAATTTCACTGCTTTGTAAAGGAATTTGCATTATTCCTTAGCTTTTGATTGAATACTATTGTCAACAATCAAAAGAAGTTTTCTCGTGGGCTCGTGTATGTTTTGATTATTTCCCCCCCTTTTTTTTTTCGGTGCCGTAGAATTTTTATTCGGGAGTCAATAAAAGTGCGACCTTTTGCGGGGTGTTCGATGGTCACGGCCCTTACGGTCATATGGTGGCTAGGAAAGTTAGAGATGCCCTCCCACTTTTATTACGTTCCCATTGGAAAAGTAAGCCAGAAAAGGATATTTCGAATAAAGAAGTGGCGCACGAGAATGGAAATATTGAAGGTATGAGGCGATTTGACGACTTTGTGGATGAAGATGGTTGTGAATCTTCGGAAGCTGAGGAAACCGAGAAGATTCCCGAGATTCATATGCCGTTAAAGAAGTCGATATTGAGAGCATTCAGGTTAATGGATAAGGAACTGAAAGCGCACCCCACAATTGATTGCTTTTGTAGTGGTACGACTGCCGTGACTCTAATAAAGCAGGTACTTGACTTTATTTTTCTTTTTTCTTTTTTTCATTTCAAGTTTTTAGGTCCTTGCTTCTCTATAGTTTAGTCAAACCGCTTGGTGTTTTCCAAGGATGAATTTTCATTTGTCTGTTTTTGCAGTTTGTACGGCGGCAGTTTTTTCATACTCACCTGTTGTAGCATTTGCATCCATATCTATGTTGATTTCTGGCAAGTCGAAGATGTAATTTTGCCGTTTGTGTTTGTTGTGATGGAATTTTTTGCACTTGGCTCGTTCAGGAGCTTTGAGAATGTGGTCTTTCCATAAGTACACTTAGTTCATGTGTACTGAATCATGTGAGCTAAAGCGCTCTTAGTTTTCATGAACTAGCAAAATCTTCTTAAAAATGCAGAAAAGCAAGACTCAATAGAGTGCATCGAAATGGAGCCAGTGACTTTTATTTTTTTATTTAGAAAAAAAAAAGCCCAAATATCGGAATTTGCCGTTTCTTGAGTAGGTTAGTCCTGAAAAATAATATGGAGAAACTTTCTGCTGCCTCTTGCTAATGTTACAACTGCTATCATCACATCACCCTTTGCTGATGCTTTCATGATTTATCTACTTTGAAATATACCTTTGGTTTATACATAATTTTATGAAAATGTTAAATTTGACTATTTAGTTGTCCTGATAAAAAATTTCCGAGTCGCAAATATTCATTCTTGCACTTCTCAATGATTGTGCATCTTTAAGAAATTCGGTCCACCTAAGAAAAGGGGGATCCAAGAATGCTAGATAGAGTACTTTTTTTGTTACTTGAGGTTGATGCCATCATTTTAAATCTACAACATGTTAATCTGATGATGATCAATCTGTTATTCGATGGCCTTAAATTAAACAACTTAATTCTTAACAAAACCACTATTACAGGGCCAAGACCTCATAATTGGGAATGTAGGTGACTCGAGAGCAGTGCTGGCAACACGAGATAAAGACAATGCTTTGGTGGCTGTACAGTTAACTGTCGACTTGAAACCTAATCTTCCAAGTAAGTTTCTTTCTATATAATTACATGGATGTAGACTATATTATTCATGGCGTTCGTATGTCAGGGGAAGCTGCTAGGATCCAAAAATGTAAAGGAAGGGTATTCGCATTGCAAGACGAGCCAGAAGTGGCACGTGTGTGGCTTCCAAACAGTGACTCTCCTGGCTTAGCCATGGCTCGAGCATTTGGAGACTTCTGTCTAAAGGATTTTGGTTTGATATCCATCCCGGATGTTTATCACCACCATATTACAGAGAAGGACGAATTCGTAATTCTCGCCACTGATGGGGTACGCAAATCGAAACAATTCGCACTTCATTAAATAAATAAATAAAAAAGAAAAGAAAAAAGAATGAACAAAGAGAACTTATATCATTGCATTAGCTTGCAAAGAATTCTTCTTTTCATATCTGTGTGCGGAATGGACCTTGTCCTCTGCCAAAGCATGTTTAGCAACAGAATAAGACAGTAACTTTTTCTTTTTTTTCTTTTTTTGCGACAATAATGTCGGCAAGTCGTTGCTAAAATAAAATAAATGTTTAGAATGACAAACATGAAAATTTCATTCCTAAATACTAATGGTGTGATTGGTTATAAACTTAACCAGAAAAAACCAATCAAAACATAGATTTAACTCAACTTTAACTCAACCAAGCGATCTTCAATATTATCAGTATAATTAAATAATATCAACCAATCATTCTTACACATGTGATTGGTTATAAACTTAACAAAAAAAAAACCCAATCAAAACATAAATTTAATTCAACTTTAACTCAATCCCGCGATCCTCAATATTATCAATATAATTAAATAATACCAACCAATCATTCTTACACATCACGCATCAATTTTAATTCCCTATTCATCTACTCACATAATTTTAACTAACCTTCATTTCCAATCATTTTTCTCTTACTTTTACGTCAACTCAACTTTAATTATTTTATTTTAAATAATATTTTAATTTAAACTTAAATTCACACTAACAAATAACCATACCACCTTTTTTCAAAATTAACTATGGTTAAAAAGAAAAAAAAACAAATCAAAACCATATCCAGTTACACCCTAAAGAGAAATATTTGCTTCATCATTGCTAAATGTTAAAATGTCATCCAAAAAAAGAAAAACATACCAAATTGCGAAAAAAATTCTTGTGATCTTCCGGTTTTCTTCTCCATAACGGATCTCTGAAGGTTATTTCGGGTAATAAACAGGTCTGGGACGTACTATCCAATAAAGAAGCAGTGAACATAGTGGCCTCTGCTCCCAGCCAAGGAACAGCCGCTCGAGCCCTCGTTGACTGTGCCACGCGTGCATGGCGGCTCAAGTACCCAACCTCAAAAACCGATGATTGTGCAGTTGTCTGTTTATTCCTCGAGCACTTGCCCCTAACAACAAAAGATGTTGACCAGGAAGAAAAGAATGTTCCGGAAGAAGAAACTCGTACAGTTTCCTCAGAGTTGGAGAACCAAAATGAAGTTACGACAAAAGAATCGAGTGAGATAGTGCCCGCTGTCGATGAGGAGAAGACGGTTGACTCCAAGACTATCGGTCAATCTAAGAGGAGTTTGGCTGAGTGCCTCTCGACTGCTGAGGATGAGGAGTGGTCGGCCCTTGAAGGTATAACGAGGGTTAATAGCCTGCTTAGCCTTCCGAGGTTCTCGCCCTTTGATAAAAGGTCCACGAGCTGGAGAAAATGGATTTGAATTAGATTTAAGTATTAAGCGGGTATATATAATATAATACATGTGTGTGTTGTTGCCTGGAGATGAAGCTGATGTTTTGAGAATGACTTGAGCAGGGGTGTGAGGTGTTTGTTTGGGTGAACTGAGATAGAAGATATTTTTTTGTATTTATTGAGCTTTTAATTTAAACATGTGTAATTTTTAGATAGCAACACCTTTTGGTCGTCTGTAATAGTTGCTACTCTTGCCTTGTGCGAGGAGAAAAAACTGTGTGCACTGAATTGTTTACAAAATTAATTTTGGACTTGTAATTTTTATTATTCTTTTTTCATGGTAACTTTTGTTTCAAGGATCAATTATTACTTTATTAGTGTGGTGTGTGCCGCATTAATTAATAACTGGTAGTACTATAGTATCCGTTTATTGCACGAGCATTCAATATAATACTAATACGTGAAAGAATTAAAAAAAATAAAAAAAATAAAATATACTCCCTCCATTTTGAAATATAAGACATTTAAGGTTATTGCACAAATATTAAGGAGACATTAATTAATGAATAAATTGACTAAATTAACCTTATTTACTCTAATCACAACCATTCCACACTTCCTTAATTTCAACACAATGAGGGTATATTTGGAAAAAAATGCAAAAATTTGTCTTGATTTTTGAGCGCGCCTTATATTTCAAAAAAATTGAGAAATCTTTATACGCCTTATATTTCAAAATGGAGGAAGTAATATTTTATTTCTTAATTTTTTTTTAAAAAAATAAATTATATTTTTTGTATGCAATATGCATATGAAATTCAAAATCTTAAAGCATGATTAATTTTATAAAGAATGATAATTATAAAACTTATTAAGTTATAATGTATTTATTATTTAAAAATTCTATTTAGTATAGATAAAAATCTAGATCTACATGAAATATTTTATTTCCTAGATTTTACACAGAACACATGTCTAAGGACGCTGAGTGTTCGTGTCTGACAGAGAGGGCTTTAATTTAGGTTGTAATTTGTGTTTAGTTGTTTTGTTTTGATAGTGTGTTTGTTGTTTTCTTTGTTTAGTTGTGTGTTTTATTCTGTGTTTGATTCTCCTTTTGGGATTTGTTGTATTCTTATGTTGAGAATTGTTTTTCTTCTTTGGGAGCTTTTGTTTTGTAGTGTCGTTCCGTGTTTAGATTGGTTTTAAGCTATCTCGGGTTATTTGTTTGTGGGGGACTATTCCTCGCAACTAGATTCAGCTGAGTTGCTGATTTATTCTGATGTTTAATTACTTTCTGATTTGTAGCTATGTGCTTTTTCCTATTGAAGTCCATCGTATGAAAAAAAAACTTACAATATATCAATCCTAGTAAAGGTAACCAAACACGCCCCTATAGTGGGGTTTAATGGGCTTTTCCCCCTTCTTCCTTGAGCCCTCATAGATCAAACTATCAAATCAAATTATTCTTTGTTTCAAGAAAAAAAAAAAAATCATTATTTTCACCCTTTTGTTGCGAAAATCAGCAGGCGCATTCACAGAAACATGTCTTCTTCGAGCAGCGGCCTAACGTTCAAGCTCCATCCGCTCGTCATTGTCAACATCTCCGATCACTACACTCGGGTCAAGTCCCAGTCCCTTCCGCCTCCGGATGCCCGCAACGGCGGCGAAAATTCGGTGGTCTCTCTTCCGTCGCCGCCGCGCGTGTACGGATGCGTCATCGGTGTCCAGCGCGGCCGCATCGTGGAGATCTTCAACAGCTTCGAGCTTCTCTACGACGCCTCCACTCACTCACTCGACCGAGCTTTTCTCGAGAAGAAGCAAGAGCTTTGTGAGTAATTTTATTTTGTAGGTTTATTTTATTGCGAGGAAATTAGAAGTACTGATCCTTAGATGTGTTGGGCAGATAAGAAGGTGTTTCCGAATTTTTACATCCTGGGATGGTATTCAACCGGGAGCGAGGCGCTAGAGTCCGATATGATTATTCACAAAGCTGTGAGTGAGCTCTTAGTTTTTTGCTGTATAGTTTCACGATTGAATCATAGGGTATTGTTGGTTTTTTTTTTTCTTTTCTTTTTTTTTTCTTCAGTGTATTACTTGCACTTTCTAACCCTAATGCGGGTGACATGGCGAAAAATTGTATGAAGTTGGAGTCAATTTTCTGAACAGTTGGTGAAATTTTTTTTTTGCTCGAACTTTAGGTTCTGTGTTGCACCACCTTTCTGTTAATTCCTACTTAGGTAATTAGCCTACCTTTGCCTTTACTGATATATGACTTGACAAAACCAGAATTGGTCAGTGTAATAGGCCTTAAAACAATGAACCCAGAATGCATTTAATACAACTGAAAAAAAATATTGTATCCATTTCATTATTTTGTTGTGATTTTGTGCCTGCATGTCCATCATCCATATAGTTCCGTCATCGCTGAAACTTCTTTTCTTTTCCGGTTTCTGACAGCTGATGGATATCAACGAGAGCCCTGTTTATGTTCTTCTCAATCCTTCCATTAATCCTGCACAGAAAGATCTGCCCCTTACAATATATGAAAGTGGTACGTACTTATTGATCTTTTGTCATTGGATTTCCGGAAATTTTTCTCTGAAATTGGTCTCACCTATGTGATATGGTGATTGTTGTGTCGCATTTTTATGTGTCAACTGTGGTTTTAGGTCAAAGCATGAAGCATTAACATAGAGATTTTTCAGGCTTTCTGTACTTCTGAGTATATTGTTTGATTTTAACTGGAAAAAGGCACCTGTACTACGTTATGATTGATATCATCAAGCTCAGAGCTATCTAGAACATCTTGGCTATTTTGGATCTGAGATATATTATTATTTGTAAGAAGCTAACTGCTTGAATTTGGTTGATAAACTTGTAAGCATGTCTGCTGCCATGTGAAAGATATTTTGTGCCTGATATAAAGGTATATTAATTAGCCATATCAACTTCTTAAAGTTTGCTTTTAGTTCCCTCAACAATATAGGCGATGTACTGTTATCCTGATATAATAAATTATCTGGTTGTAGGCATCTATGTTTCAGTGCTGAAGATTTGGCAACCATGTCAAATTTTTTTATTTTATTTTTTTGGCTAGGGAAGAATTGCCAGTGTTTATGTTAATCTACTATTGATTTACAAAATTATTCTATTTTCTTTCCCTCTATTTCTCTCTCCATCTTTACTATTTTTGTTGACCAAACATAACTATCCAGAGTTGCACGTTATTGATAGCATCCCCCAGCTTATTTTTGTTCGATCAAGTTATACCATAGAGGTAATACGCATTGTTTCTTAATTTTCAACATCATACTTCAGGCAGGACTGAGAATATACGACTATTTTTAATGTATAATTTCCTTTAACTTGCCTTCTAGACAGTGGAAGCTGAAAGAATATCTGTTGATCATGTCGCCCATCTTAAGCCATCTGATGGGGGTTCAGCTGCAACTCAATGTGAGCCTTTTGCCCTTTTTTTTTTGGTGACAACTTAAGTGATAAAAGCACCCCTCACAGCATGAACAATTGATTCTCTCTTTAGTTGTCTTTGATCATAATGTTGATTATTAATTACTATCCTCTATTTTTTAGTGGCTGCTCACCTTACTGGCATACACAGTGCAATTAAGATGCTGAATAGTAGGATCAGGGTGCTTCATCACTATCTTCTTGCCATGCAGAAAGGTACTATGTGCATTTTATTTCTTTTCTTCTATGGACAGAATATTCAAGTAAACAAAGAATGTATGTGTTTTCTTCAATTGACGAGAAGCACCAGAAATTAGCAGATTCGAAATGTGGCTCCGTCTGTTATTTCCATTATGAAGTGTCCGCTGGTGTTTAAATAGTGTGTTTGTGTCTTTGTTTTTGCTGCTATTTACAGGTCAAATGCCATGTGACAATTCTTTATTGAGGCAAGTGTCTAGTCTCTTGAGAAGACTACCAGCCATCGAATCTGACAAATTCCAAGATGATTTCTTGATGGTGAGTGCTTTCTGACAGTTTTTTTTGTTTTTTCTTCCATTTTTTAATCTGTGTCATGTACTCTTAATTTTCTTTTAATGCTTTGAAAAAAGATATTTTGAATTGAATTTCCATACGTGTGTTGCTACAAATCTCTTGTAATCGCATAAATAAGAATGCGTTCTAATCCCAATTTTTATGCTTTCCAGGAATATAATGATACACTGCTGATAACGTATCTGGCAATGTTCACCAACTGTTCAAGGTATGCCTGTTTCTGCTGAGTACTTTTCTAAAGGTTTGGATGTACAGCTATAGGGTGTGTTTAGAAGCTCTGAAACAGCGTTATTCTTAGTTTGTAGGTCGAAGGAACTAACTGTTTTTTCACGTAAAATACAAGTTTTGCTCTTTTTTTTGTAGTTAAGAGTTTTTGAGATTTCTATAGAAGAGAATAGGATTATCCAACACGTCATATGCACTTTCAATCTGCCTGGTTCTGGGTTGGCTTAATGTTATATGACCTACCTTGTCTTATGCCTAGTTGGAGATGGTGCTCGGGTGGCGTGGAATAACTTATATGTAGTTTTATTTAGTTGTTTATTTACATCTTATTTTCCCATCATCATCATCATCTTGTACATTTCAAAATTCTTGATTGTTCAACTAGGCTTTCCTGCATAACCTGCATAGCTCCTGATGTAGTTGCAGTATTTGTTGCTCCCTAGATGTAATTGTATGTACTCAGTTATCACTACCACTATTCAATCCTAATTATCAAGGCAGATTAAATTTTCAGTTGATAGGCCAATATTCCATTGCTTGAAACATCTGACTTATTTCTTTATGCAGCACGATGAACGAGCTGGTCGACAAATTTAATACTGCTTACGACAGGCATAGTCGAAGGGGTGGCCGGACCTCCTTTATCTAAGAAGTTTGTTCATATTCATCTTCTCGGTTGCCAAATTTTCCCTGAGGAAGGCCACTTATGTTTAAATCCAGGAATTAGTTGTGAGCAGAGCAAAATTGATTTGAGTAGGAGGGTAGTCCAACTGTTGAGGGGCAAACTAGTACAATCACTTACCTTGGCACTAGCAGAGTTCTGATGAATTGTGTCAAAAGGATTTTAAATTGGTGTGTTGGTGTGATTGTGCATCAGTTTTTACTGTGCATTCCTGTTGGTATGAAATGTCACTATGTTCTCCAGAAAAACCTTACTTTCCTCGGAGGTTGACGTTTTTTTCTCCTTCTCCCAATTTGGGTATACATTATTAGCTTAAAACGCGTTGAGAAGTTGGATAGGCATATTTTAGTTGAATTGGCAAGTAGATTTATGATTTGTCGATTATATTGTGGCTATTCATTAGTTTTTCCATATTTGGGCAAAGTTTTTATATTCTCTCAGTAGCAATAAAACTGAGTACTGACAACATTGACTAAATTCCAATATGGTGTTGCTCTCTAAGATTTTCTCCAAAGATGTTCCAATTTGGGTGTTGTTCTAAAAGATTTTCTCCAAGGATAGGATATCTTGGACTTTAGTAATTTACCTATACAATAACCCAACAAGAGTACTACAAGAAGACACCTAAATAAGAACATCATACTGAAATGGCATTCAGTTAGAAGGGATAAAATTGTAATATTTGCATGCTAGATGCTTCATACAATACAATGTATATTATTAGTTATTAGTTGTTACACCAGCAGAGTGGCTCTAAGTCCCAACTTTTGAGCCACTGAACAAACACATACCACAAACAAGGAACCAGAAAAGGAGCAGCTACACAGATAGCTCGGTTTTTGAAATGAGAACACCGTCACTATCTGCATACAACCACTCCCCATCCCTAATCACAGTACCCCCAATATGAATGTTCCCATGCCTTTCCCCCACTCCTTTCTTGTTCGATTTCTGGGGATGGGAGGCTAAGGCCCGAACCCCAATGTCACACCCATTAATCTCATCCACATCACGTATGCACCCATTCACGACTATCCCGGCCCAGCCCATGTTTTGGGCCAGCTGGCCCAGATTCCCACCCACTAAGGCACACCTAAGGCTCCCCCCTCCATCGATGACCAGGACTCTGCCCTCTCCTTTTGTTTCTAGAAGCTCCCTCACCAACACATTATCCTCAAACACCTTGAGGGTGGCAATTGGGCCCGAGAAGGCCCGTGATTGGCCGTAAATCTTGAAAATGGGCTGCAGGACTCGGAGGTCACCAGTTGCCAAGAGTGCCGCATTCGTGTCACAAAGCTCGGCTGTCGCTAATGAACCCATGCATGCACGCGCGCCTGACCTGGAGTTAGAGAAATGAAATTCAGTTTATTCATAATTGACTCAATCATCTCAAACTTCAGTTGATTGGAGTCTAATCTAAGTTTGCATACACACTTTATTCTTTCTAACATTCATCTTCAGCTCAAATTAAAGTACGCTCCAGTTGGTCAATGAACTCACCAAATTGCAAACAAAATTTGAAGCTTGGTTACAACATAAAACGGATTTTAGACAGCAGATGGTTCGATTCTATTCAAATTGTTCATTTAATATTGTTGTATGTAAATCATCACAATACGTCCCAAAAAAGGATCAAAGAATTACCTGTGCAATCAAAGCACAACTGTATTATACAAAATAAAGGGGGAAAAAAAATTATATCTAAATTAATCTTTCCCAAACACTGAAAGCTCAAAACTAGCAATTACTAGTAGCTCATATATGGATGACAGTGGACAATGATCACATAACAATCGGATTTCAATTCGGATTTTCAATTTCTCAGAGCGAAAACCAGCCAGACATGATGTAGAACATTAAAAAAGAATATTAGGCAAAATTAAAAGGAATACAATCAGATTCTATTACAACTGCTCTCTCAAGAAAAAGGAAGACTAATAATCCAAATCAAGCAAAATTAAGTATTGAAAGGACATTTCTTGACACAGAAAAAATTGAATCGGCAAATTGTAGTTACCAGTTTAAAATACCAACAAAAACCAGGCAGAGCAGCACCACTAACGCCAAGGCAACAATAATTTATTTTGGATAAATGGAATGCCACCGTCAAATTTATAAATGACAATGCAGTGGAAAACGTCATTACGACGTCAACTATAAAGAGGTAAAAAAACTCGTCCTATCTCCTCGTTGCCTGTGCCACTAATTTGGGGACATTTTTTGGAAAAGAAAAATTGTTGAATTTTGCCCCCATCCATTCCATATTTCACCGTTGGGCGAGTTTAGAGGTGGTCCGGGTCGGTCTGGTCCGGGTCGAAACTGGACCGGACCTATGGGTCTTGAAATCGGACCCTTTGCCGATTTCGGGTCCTAGTCTTGCTTTTTTGACCTGTCAATTTCGCGTCGAAAGACGGGTTCAAACT